TGCTGAGAAAATGTGCATTTCCACCCCAGGTATACTGAATCAGACTCTATATTTTAACAAAATCCCCAGGTGATTCTTGTGTATAACTTCCTGGGAACTTGTTAGAAATGCAAATACTCAGCAAGAGTTCGAATTTGAAAGAATTGATTAAAAGCCCTGGTCATACATACCAGCTATGACCACCTGACCAGTTGCAGAAATGAGGACTGTAATTGTTGAATATTTCTTCCTTATTTTATGAATGCTGCATGTGTGTGATATATATATTATTTCAAGTGTCTTTGTTTTCTTCCCTGTCTTATCTCATTACAACAAAACAAACATTAACAAAAACGCTAATCAATTTAGGTTCGAACTCCTGCTGAGTATTTGCACTTCTTTGAGTCAATTCTGACTCATAGTGACCCTGTAGGACAGAGGACTGCCCTACAGGGTTTCCAAGGCTGTAATCATATGCAAGCAGACTTGCCACATCTTTCTCTCACGGAGTGGCTGGTGAGTTCAAATCACTGACCTTTCAGTTAGCAGCCAAGTGCTTAACCACTGTACCACCAGGGCGCCTTTCTTGTCCCATTACTTATCATAAAACATAAGATGTATAAACTTTACATCATAGCATTTAAGGACAAACATCACTGGACTCTGCATTCTCTCTGGGAAAGTGGTTAGTGTGTTTTTGGCTGTACGCAGGAGAACTGTACCCTGTTAGGCGTAAGTATGACTTTGTTATTGTCTTCATTTGGAGATTAAGTATGGTTTAAGGAGATGCTTATGGGTGCCAAGTTGACAAGGGGTAGACTGTGATGGTTAGCTTTTATTTATTGTGCTTTAAGCAAAAGTTTACAATTCAAGTTGTCTCTCATTCAAAAATTTATGTATTGTTACGTGACCCTAGCTGCTCTCCCTATACTGTGACACCACACTCCTCCTTTCCATCCTAGATTTCCTGTGTCCATTCAGCCAGCTCCTGACCCTCTCTGCCTTCTCATCTCGCCTCAGTACAGGAGCCGCCCACTTAGTCTCATGTATCTACTTGAGCTAAGAAGTACACTCTTCACAAGTATCATTTTATGTCCCATAGTCCAGTCTAATCCTTGTCTGAAGAGTTGGCCTCAGGAACGGTTTTAGTTTTGGGCTAACAGAGTCCAGGGGTCATGTCTTTGGGGTCCCTCCAGTCTCAGTCAAACCATTAAGTCTGGTCTTTTTACTAGAATTTGAGTTCTGCACCCCACTTTTCTCCTGATCCATCAGGGACTCTCTGTTGTCTTCCCTGTCAGGGCGGTCACTAGTAGTAGCTGGGGCACCATCTAGTTCTTCTGGTCTCAGGCTGATGAAGTCTCTGGTTTATGTGGCCATTTCTGTGTCTTGGGCTAAGACTTTCCTTGTGTCCTTGGTGTAATTCATTCTCCTTTGCTCCAGGTGGGCTGGGACCAACTGATGCATCTTAGATGGCTGCTCACCAGCTTTTAAGACCTGATAGCTACTCACCAAAGTGGGATGCGGAACATTTTCTTAATAAACTTTGTTATGCCAGTTGACCAAGATGTTTCCCGAAACCATGGTCCCCAGGCCTCTGCCAAGTGTTTGGCTGTATTCAGGAAATTTCGTAGCTTTGGTTTAGTCCAGTTGTGCTGACTTCCCCTGTAGTGTGTGTTGTCCTTCTCTTCACATAATTCTTGTCTACTATCTGGTTAGTGAATACCCCTCCCTCCCTCCCCACCCTCATAACCATCAAAGAATGTTGTCTTTTGTGTTTAAACCTTTTCTTGAGTTCTTATAATAGTGGTCTTATACAATATTTGTCCTTTTGCAACTGACTAAATTCACTCAGCATTAACACCTTCCAGATTCCTCTATGCTATGTTTCATGGATTCATTGTTGTTCTTTATCTTGTGTAGTATTCCACTGTGTGAATATACCATAATTTATCCATTTGTCCACTGATGGGCACCTCGGTTGTTTCCACCTTTTTGCTATTGTGAACAGTGCTGCATTGAACATGGGTGTGCACATATCTATTCCTGTGATGGCTCTTATTTCTCTAGGATGTATTACAAGGAGTGGGATTGCTGGATCATATGGTACTTCTATTTCTAGCTTTTTAAGGAAGCGCCAAATCGATTTCCAAAGTGGCTGTACCATTTTACATTCCCACCAACAGTGTATAAGTGTTCCAGTCTCTCTACAACCTCTCCAACATTTATTATTTTGTGTATTTTGGACTAATGCTAGCCTTGTTGGGGTGAGATGGTATCTCACTGTAGTTTTGATTTGCATTTGTCTAATGGCTAATGATCACGAGCATTTTCTCCACCTGAATGTCTTCCTTGGCAAAGAGCCTGTTCATATCCTTTGCCTATTTTTTAATTGGGTTATTTGTCTTTTTGTTGTTGAGGTTTTGCAGTATCTTGTAGATTTTAGAGATTAGACGCTGATCGGATTTGTCGTAGCCAAAAAGTTTTTCCCAGTCTGTAGGCTGTATTTTTACTCTTTTGGTGAAGTCTTTCAATGAGCGTAAGTGTTTGACTTTTAGGAGCTCCCAGTTATCTAGTTTGTCCTCTGGTGTTTGTGCATTGTTACTTATGGTTTGAATTGTGTTCATGCCATGTATTAGGGCTCCTAGCATTGTCCCTATTTTTCTTCCATGAACTTTATTGTTTTAGATTTTATATTTAGGACTTTCATCCATTTTGAGTTAGTTTTTCTGCATGGTGTGAAGTATGGGTCTTGTTTCAGCTTTTCTGCAGACGGATATCCAGTTATGCCAGCACCATTTGTTAAAGAGACTGTCTTTTCTCCAGTTAATGGACTTTGGGCCTTTGTCAAATATCAGCTACTCATAGGTGGATGAATTTATATCTGGATTCTCAATTCTGTTCCATTAGTCTATGTATCTGTTGTTGTACCAGTACCAGGCTGTTTTCACTACTGTGGAGGTATAATAGATTCTAAAATCAGGTAGTGTGAGGCCTCTCACTTTATTCTTCTTCTTCAGTAATGCTTCACTTATCTGGGGCCTCTTCCCTTTCCATATGAAGTTGGTGATTTGTTTCTCCAGCTCATTTAAAAAATGCTGTTGGAATTTGGATTGGGATTGCATTGTATCTGTAGATTGCTTTGGGTAGAACTGACATTTTCACAATGTTGAGTCTTCCTATCCATAAGCTAGGTATGTTTTTCCACTTATGCAGGTCTCTTTTGTTTACTGCAGTAGTGTCTTGGGAGTTTTCATGTATAGGTCTTTTACGTCTCTGGTTAGATTTATTCCTATGTATTTTATCTTCTTGGGGGCTATTGTAAATGGTATTGATTTGGTGATTTCCTCTTGGAAGTTCTCTTTGTTGGTGTAGAGGAATCCAACTGATTTTTCTATGTTTATCTTACATCCTGATACTTTGCTGAAATCTTCTATTAGTTCCGGTAGTTTTCTTGTGGATTCTTTGGGGTGTTCTGTGTATAAGATCACATCATTTGCAAACAGAGATACTTTTACTCCTTCCTTACCAACTTGGATGCCCTTTAATTTCTTTTTCTATCCTAATTGCTCTGGCTAGGACCTCCAGCACAATATTGAATAAGAATGGTGATAAAGGGCATCTTTGGTTCCCGTTCTTATGATGGTTAGTTTTTATGTGTTGACTTGGCTAGGCTATGATGCCCAGTTGTTTGGCCAAACACTAGTCTAGTTGCCATTATGAAGTAGTTACATGTGATTAAACCAGCTGGATTTAAGTAAAGCAGAATACCCTCCATAATGTGGGTGGGCCTCATCCAATCAATTGAAGGCCTTAAGAGCAAAATGGAGTTTTCCCTAGGATATATTCCACCTCCAGACTGTAAATAGACATCTTGCCAGAACTTCTCCACTCTTCTCATTGCTGACCTATGGATTTTGGGACACAAGATGGATGGAATCTCCAGCCTGTTGCCTGACCTACAGATCTTGGACTTGCCAGCCCCCACAATCGCATGAATTAATTCTTTAAAATAAATCTCTCTTTCCCTGGTTCTGTTTCTCTAGATAACCCTAAGACAGCCCCCAAACTGTCTTCCAACTTTATCTTAACCTATTCCTCTACACATATTTCTTGTTAATTGTACCGTCTTATATATACCTCCACACTTTCTGTCCTAATACTTTATGCCCCTTTCCCTACTACAGAGTTCCCTCTTTCCAAATCTCTGTTAAAATCCTACCCATTCTGTATGGCCAACTCAAATGCCACCTACTTCAGGAAGCAACTCTTGATTTTCCCAATGTATTTATTTGCTCTCTTCGCAACCCAAGGCTTTTGATTGTTATGATGCCTGACACACTATCTTATATTAGTTGTGTATTCTACTTATCTTTTCCTATCACACATTTTAAGTTCCTTAAGGGCAGGAGCCGTGACTTCTTCATCTTTGAAAAAGTGAAGTGCTTTCCAAAATATGAATAAAAAAGGGAAGAGGGCTTTTAAAAGCCTCTGATTGATTTCATTTTCATGGAAACATTCAAAGAAAAGTATCCTTTGAGAGTGTGATTTTGAGATAACTACAAATTAACAGTAAATGGAGAGTAAGGGGAAAGTAACTGATTTTTCAATACCCTATTTGGTGCCCAGTAATGCGACAGGTGTCTTCATGTATGTTCTCTCATTCCTTCACAACCATCCTGTGAGATATGTATCATCCCCACTTACAGATGAGGAAACCAAGGCTCAATAGAGTGACTTCCCAAAAGTATCACAGATTTAACTGAGTGGCAAATCTCACATTTTGAACTCTCTTCTATCAGTATTACTTTCTGAAAGAAGTAGAGGAATATGTAGTACTGAAAGATCCTTTTCCAGAATCAAAGGAGATAATGTTCACAAACGCCTTTTCCAAAGTACAAGTTAAACAAATGTAAGGTATCAGTTATGGGGAGGATGCCATAAAAAGCAAAACAAGTAGCTATCATTCAGTTTCTATCATTAAAGCACAACAATGCCTTGACAAAAGCATCCGGCAGACTAGAGATCATCAACAGGCACTTTAATCTTAATGTTTTTTGTTGATGTGGCTTTTTAAAAACATGGACATGTAGCTATGTAGTACTGGAGGTAACTATGTTGAGTCCATCACATAAACAAGCCATTACAATTCAATATTCATTTGGCACCAGGATGTAGTTTGCAACAAAGGACAAAAATAAGACATGGTCCCTGCTCAGAAGGCTTACAATCTAAAAGGCAATAAGAACAGAGGATGTAACTGTAGACATAGAAAATTCTGTATTTTTAATTAATTTTTTTGCATGAAAATTTTCCTAGCCTTTGGTGTTAGTTAATGAAATGCTTCAATGAAATAGGTTTTAGAATGGAATATGAAAGGGAAGGTACTGATTTGGATACTGTGAAAAAAGATTGATTTAATTTCTGGGATATAATGAACAATGATTTTTAACTGATGGGTATCAGAATATTTTGGGGTGGAGGAAAGGTTTTATAAAGTTTCAAAACAAGATGGTACCTTCTGCCATTGCTTTGACTTATTTTCCTTTATTTTTAAAATTTAGTTAACATCAGAGCGAGTATGGATCTTTTAGGTTTCTAAATGGAACAATGCTTTAAAAAGAGACAGACAGGTACCAAGATTTAAAGACCAAGAAAAACAACAGCGCAAAGTGATGCCAGGGAAAATTGGAAAAACAACAGTAATAAAGAGGAAGAATCAAAAGTAAAGATCACAAGACAATGAAAGAATTAACAGGTTGACTGAACGTTAGTTAAGAAGACTAGGGAGAGGGAAAGATGTAATATGAAATTTGTCCTAGGAGAAATTATTAAAAGATGTAATCAATGTTCTTGCTGAAACAGATGATACGTTTAAATAATTTTTTAATAAAAAAGGAAACAGAATGTAAAACATTTATTTAATAAAAAAATTTTTTATAGTCTACACAGAATTGAATAAAAAGTTACAACAAATCATTTTCACTTCTTTGGAAAACTGCACACAACTTCAAGACTGGATTTAGCATTCTACAAACATGGCCACACACCAAGACGTGAACTTATTCGTCTTAAATAAGTAAAGGCTTAGGTTGTGTGCCACAACTTCAAATTAAATTACAGGAAAATATTGCTTTGGTAATGTGAACAATTTATTGTACCACAGTCCATTTTATTTAAAAAAAAAAAAAATCAAATAAAATCCCTCAAACACCACTTCCCTATTTGTTTCTGAGTAAACAATTCCCTATGCAGCAAAAAACCCAAAGCAAAGCAAAATTCACCAAATATAAAGTTGGTGGCTGCTACTTTTTTTTTCCTCTGCCAAAACAAACTTTATTGCACCGGAAAGAAAAAAAAACATAAAACTTCATTTTTGTACAGTCAGATATAAAGACATCTCTTTGACTCCTGTGCATATATTTCTTCAACTAAGATTAGGGCGTAAAAGTCAGGCCACAATGCCAGACATGCTCTGCCCATGGCAGCGCCAAGGAGAGGACTGTCACTTGAAAGTGGGAACACTTAAATGGATGACAGACAACACTGGACCTACAAACCAAGGGCATCCTTCTAAGCCCTGGACTAGCTCTGGGAATGGAAGAGGTAAATTTGAAGCAGGGGTCTCTTTTTGAGTCTCTGTGTGAAGAGACCCAACCTTCAGGTATGCAAGATAAACTCCCATTCCCCAGGTCCATTTCTTGTCCAGTTTCTCTGCTTCCTGCCCTCCCAAGTAGGACATTCTCCTTTATGACTATCCCCACCCCCCAGTTCCCCTCAGGGAGATCCCATGATCCACAAGGCAGACACCTTCATAGCGGCAGGCAGGGCAGGTACAAGTTATCCTCTCCCTTACAGGCAGCTGGATACTGACAGGCCCTGCATCACATGGATCACCAATACCCCACTGGGAGCTATAACACAGTAAGAATCTGGAAAGTACAGGGGAGAACACATCAAAAAGGGGAAGAATGGATTCCCTTGATGCCCAGTATCACAGGGCACCTAAAGCAGATTTTTCTGAGCCAACCAGCTAAAGGATCACTGCAGCTAAATACAGAGAAGCGACACAGCCAGGTAAACACCCATCAGAGCCAGTGACAAAGAGCAGCTGGAAGGGAAAAAGGGGGAGGGGGGAGAAGGGGAGGAGTCTCCAGAGTCCCAGCCCAAATCCTCTTCTGCCTCTGACTATCCTTGTTCCCCACAAGTCCCTGGAGGTTGGAGTAAGGAGGGGGACTACAGGCTGGGGTGAAAAAACATGAGGACAGCCAAACAAAATACAATAGGACTAGCATCAGTCTCCCCCCTGTACCATATCCCCAAGAGAAATGCCCTCACTGTGACTAGTATTTATGAAAATCTGTAAGAGGCTATTCTATGTAGTGGCTTTAATTCCATCCACACAGCAGCTGCCTGTGTTGGGAACTTTCAAATCAGTGATTGTGGGAACAAACAGTATTTTCAGCTTCTTACGGTGCCTGTGCAGGCTTTACCAAGACCTTGGTTCAGTCTTAGTCACTTTTACCTCCTGTCCAAAATCTAGAAAAGGGTAAAGGAACGGGATAGGGGAGAAAGGTGCTCAGGCGCTAGGTAAAGATTACTGATCAGCATGGCTGCTACTTTTCAGACATCACTTCCCCTTCCTTCTTTACCCAGTGCTCCTTTCCTTTCCTTTATTTGGAAAGGAAGGTGAATGAAAAATGACCTACTTATCCCCATTCATTTGCTTCTAGGATTCTGGCTTAAACCAAATTGAATACATCAATTTCACAATCTTCACATTATTAACACTGCTTAGCTGTGTCATTCTAAAAAAGTTAACATCTTAGTTAAAAGCACCTACCTAAACATCTTTTCGAGACAAGGCAACAAAATTGGCTTTTTCAAAAATTTAAAATAGTTCTCATATCTCACATACACTGCAGCTACTTCATAGACTGATTTCAAAATTAAATGTATGCAGAACGTTTCTTCACGTAACTTGGAAATAGAATCACTAGCAATCCTTATTTTAAGGATTATCCACCCTTAGAAACAAAGACATATCTAATGCACAAAATCCAGGAATCGAGTCTGAGTTTCTGTCCCACTGAAATAATTAAAAAGATGCTCAGTTTATGAAAAAGGCCTCGGAATAACCCAAGTCCTAATGACATTATTATCTTGTATAAGAAGGACAAAACAATATAAAAGCTATAAATGGAGATGAAGTTATTAAAAACAAAACAAAACTTTTTCATCTTATTTTGGAAATAGAGGGAATGCAAATAAAAAATGGTCTAGTTAAAGCCTTACCCCATATACTAACTTTTCATCATGGAATTGATAGTCTTTCATAATGAAGAATTAAAGAAAAGCAGTAGGCCTACCTTAAGTTTTCTGATTAGGTCTCTTCGTTTAGATTGTTAGCAGGCTTCAAAACTTGCCTTCTTTCCTAACTACATGAGCTTCTCTAGGAAGCATACGAACAATGCAAAAATGTACTTCTAAAGAAATTCTACACAAGTACATAACTGTCAAGACAGTAACCAAGAACACTCATACAGTGAATTTTAAAAAATAACTTAAAATTAGAAATGACATATACTCCTTATAGAATACTAAATCAGAACAAATACTGCCAGTAAGAACAATTTTCATCTGCAGAAACACAAATGCACATGGGTAAACACAGAAATAAAAATTAAGTTGAATAGAGGCAGGTGCTGTTAGAACATATTTCCATCTCGACTATCACATCCTGTGGGCCCCATGAAACTCTGGTGCCACCAGGCCAAGCTTCTGGCCAAGGGGGTTCAGAAGTACGTGACACTTAAAACATCCAACTCACTCGCTGATCAAGTATACAAGCCATGTGATGCTTGATTGCTCTTGATTACTTAATTTCAAAATCAAGTTCACTTTTGAATCAGGAAAAAGTTATCCTTAAATTAGCTCTCATAAATAATCCACGAAATAAACTTCATTTCTGGCTCCTTTGAATAGCATTGTATTTGTCCAAGAACACAAGGTATTAGTCAAGTGGCTGCTCTGAAGCCATGAAATGCACATTCATAAATATATGTCTACACCTTAAAAAATTAAATACGTCCAGGCACAGTTGCTATGCAGAGTTCTTGCTACAAGAAGGTGGTTTTCAGTAGTATATTATGAAGTGGTTACTTGAGAACTTGATTCTGGATCTTCCTGCTTTCTGTATTTCTTCATAATACTGACTGTGCCATTAACCAGGAAAACCACAGCAATAAGAGCAAAATAGCCGGCGTAGATCAGGAACTAAAGGGGGAAAGTAGTCATTTACAGAATTAAAAATTAGCAGGTGAACTGTTTCCTTTCACACATGTGAACATTCTCTATATTTTAAAGGCATATTCAGAGCTTCTCAGTAAACTTCAAAAAACACTTGTGTGTTTACACCATGTGCCAGGCACCGAAAACGCAAAGAGGCAGTACACCATGGTGGCACTGGAGCCTGGCTGCCTGAGTGTGAGTTCTGGCTTCATCCCTTACTAGCTGTGTGACCTTGACCAAGATACTTTGTCTTCTCTGAGCCTTGACTTCTTCATTTACAAAATAGTGTTCATAATACCTTCAAATAATTAAAAAGGTAGGATTGTGCACGTAAATACCAGCGTAATGCTAATGTTGTTAATATTACTCTTTTACTGTTGTTGTTATTATTGTATCATGGTCTCTACCCTCAAGCTGATAGGTGGGAACAACAGGCTAAGTTCTGAAGATAGGAACCTCCATTCATTCCCTGGTAGAGGGCAGTAGAAGGTCAAACATATGCCATTATAGGATGACTTTAAAAAAAAAAATCTTTCCTAAGTCAACATTTTAATGTTTATCAATATCTTTTTTTTTCTTAAATACCACTTACTAAATATAAGCTGAATCAAAGTTTATAAAAAGAATGTGGCCCTAAGTCTTTTGAGTCAAGTAAGCTTGGATACATTTTCCTATAAGAAAACAATTAATCATGGCAGTTAGGGCGCAGCCCATAAAATCCTATTATTCCATGTGTTTAAACCCACCCTTTCTGCAAGAATATGCTGTTAAATTCAGCTTCAAATGTCAGCTGTGTGTTTCCCTCAACTAGACCTGGAAACTCTTCCTCATGGAACAGGCAGCACGGCAGGTGCTTAATTTTCTCCCACTCTTCACCTCAGAAGTGAGCACCTAACCCTTGAGAGGTCTTCTCAGTTTTTTTCCTTCTGGTAGTAATTGTGAAACATATAGAAAGTAATAAGCTCCCACTTTTGTCTCCTTGTTTGAGGTAGCACAGTGAAGACCTGGGAGAAGCGTAGGTGTTAGAGTTAGACAGACACTGGTTTAAGTCCTAGTTCCGCCACACCATTATAAACTGCGTGACCTAAAATAAATCACTTAACATCTCTCTTATTTTCTTTATCTTTAATCCTGACAACAACCCTGCAAAATTCTATATAAAGTACCTGGCACATAGAAGGCACGCAATACACATTACCAAAACCAAACCAAACCAAACCCGTTGCCGTCAAGTTGATTCCAATTCAGTGACCCTACAGGACAGAGAAGAAATGCCCCATAGGGATCCCAAGGAGTGGCTAGTGGATTCGAACTGCCGACCTTCTGGTTAGCAGCCATAGCTCTTAACCGCTGTGCCACGAGGCTCCACAATACACATTATTATTTCTCTTTTAGATCTCTTCAATAAAAACAAAGATAATTACTGCCAACATGTTGGGTCTTTGACTTCTAAGAAAACTAACAGGTAAGTGTGGAATATCAGGTAGTATGTATGGAGAGAATAATGGGCAAGGAATCATCTGGGCTGGGCTGGGTTGGAGCAGGAACTTCTTATTCAAATGCCCATTTAGCCAAAGTACAGAGCAAGCCCTGCTTACAAATTCACAGTGCATGAAGGTATATAAACCCAAACCAAACCCATTGCCATCAACTCAATTCTGACTCAAAGCAATCCTATGGGACAGAGCAGAACTGCCCCAAAGGGTTTCCAAGGAGCAGCTGGTAGGCTCGAAATGCCGACCTTTTGGTTAGCAGCCAGGCTCTTAACTACTGCCCCACATGGGCTCCATGAAGGCATATACAATTCCCGAATGAATTAAAGTATCCATTTAATCCTGAGTGTTTATGCAGGTGTTTTCTCAATAGGTCATATTTCAAGAATCATTACACTATTTGTCAATACAAGTCATTACTTTGGTATTTGGGTAAGGGATGTTTTAAATAAAGAAAGGAGGAGACTTAGAGAGCTGTGACATGAAGCAGGGCATCTCAAACATGGGGTACAATATTCTAGGCATAGAATTAAGCATGGAGAGGAATAAATGGTTGAGCAGAAGAACTTGGCTTGGAAGGAACCATTATTACTTCTCACCTAAAATAGTCCCAATGGGCTAGTTGGGTATACTCAGGATGGTTCTAGGGTCTAATAAAAGAAAAGAAAAAAAAACAAAAACTGATGGCCCCAACATCCTCTAAGTAAAAAAGAACTATGAATGGAGGATGACTAAAGGAAGGAGGGGACACTTTCACTTTTTTGCTTTGTATCTATCTATATTGTTGGAAGAGCCTGGTGACACAGTGGTTAAGAACACAGCTGCTAACCAAAAGGTCAGCAGGTCAAATCCACCAGCTGCTCCTTAGCAACCTGATGGGGCAGTTCCACTATGTCTTTTGGGTCGATATGAGTAGGAATCAACTCCACAGCAATGGGTTTATATCATTGGAACTTGTTTTCATTAAGCATGCTCCACTTCTGTCACCTGATCAAGTTATGATACCTTCTGAAACAGAGATCATCTTACCTGAGTGGTAATTTCTAAGCCAAGACCACTGGCATCTACCACAATTAGAGTGAGCAGAGTCTGCAGTGCCAGGGCAATGAAGGTATTTACACCAAACACTAGGGCATAGCGCTCCATGCTGAGGTTTGCAGCAATCTGGAAACTTTAGAAATAAATAAAGAAGAATAAATAAGCAAGATTACTTCCTGGATAGTTATAATTTTTACCTTAAATGTGAAGAGAAGCCCCTTCTTTCTACTGTCAATTCCCTTCCCAATTAAGTGACAGGCATTTTGTTGCTGAATGATGTAGATTTCATGCAAACACTTGAGAACAGTAGGAATATATAAACAAGGGAATAAGCAAACCTTGCCTACATGCTTCCTCAGGAGAAAAACTGATAACACACATACAATATAATCTTTCATCCTTTTTGCCTCTTTTAACCAGAAAATTGAATTTCTCGGTCTATAAAGAAACCCAAGTTTATCCTGTCACAATATTCCTAATGCTTCTTTGAACCAAAACACATACGTTGCTATAGTGATGAGTAGCATGTAGATGATTCTGAAGACAACATAGGATGCGTAGCACACCCAAATGTTACCCACAGTGTCCATGATATACACTGTGGCAGCAATCAGGAGTGAAAACAGAGACAATGTCGTTTCTCCCCAAGTTGACCAGGATATTTTTATATAACCAACTGCAAACACGGCAACAGCACCTACAAAACAAAAAGAGAAAAGTAATTTATTTTGCTAAACAAATACAATTTCAATAAATAAAACAATCAGTTTAGATGACTAAGTTTTAAAATCTCTAAATTTATAAATAGGGTAGCTCAAGATTTTAGACAGCCTTGAACTCAAGCAGAGAATTTTGGACTCAATGGAATAAACAACATGGAGCCACTGAGAGATGATGAAAGACTGAATCAGGGCAGGTGACAGTGAGATGGAAAAGGAGATCACAGACCCAGGGATACTGCTAAGGAAAAAATACTACTGGGGCTGAAGCAGAGGGAAGGGTCAAAAAAGACTAATGCTTTTAGCCTGTCAATATGGCAGAATGGGTCATCTAGCATTTAAACCAAGGAGCAGTCTAAAGCATGGCAAAGGGGATTCTCTGCCCTTTGGTAAATGATTGTGATGATAATGAAGCTAAAATGTACTTAAGTCCTTTTTAAGTGCCAGGCATAGTTAAAAGTGTTTTCAGAAATCATGTAGAGCCTCTCAACAACTTACTGAGGTAGGTCAACAAATCAGAAAGGGAAAACAGTGTAACGGTCACGGGCACAGGCTCTGGAGCCACCCTGTCTGAGTACAAATCTTGACTTTAATACTTACAATCTGTATAGCGTTGGGCAAGTTATTAATCTATCTGTATTCCAGTTTCCTTAGCTGTAAATTGGGGATAATAACTTTCCTATCTTAGGCATTTTGTGAGGGCTGAGTTAATATACGTAAAGTCCTTAAGAGTAGCACCTAGAACATTATTAAAGCGCTACACAGATGTTGTTATAAACTATTGCATACTGATACTCAAAGTTTCACATCAAGTGACAAAACCACATGGTAAATACAGAGATAATGGATACTTGGATAAGCAAAGAAAACAATTTTGAAAATCATTACATTAGGTTCTCCCCAAAGGTTACAAAGAATTCAAGTTTGTTAGTCATATTTCTTCACCACTTGGGCACTTCCAAATTTTCCTCCTAAATTATAAAACCAGAGCTCAAAATAAGTAAATTATTCTTTGGGACTACTACAAATTTGGAAAGGGCGAGCAAATCTGATTACAGGTGGCTTAACTACCAGAGGAATCTCCCCCTCCATCCCACCTTCTACTGTGTTGCTTACCCAGTAAGGTTGAAACAGCCTCCACACCACCATTATAAATAGCAGCATGGCGAGAAGGCATCACCTGCTCCCACAGGCCCTGTGTGTAGTTCACGACTTGAAAATAGCCACAGGTGGAAAGGGCCCACCACACCGACCAGCAGAGCAGAGGGCGAGAGGAGTAGCATATCAGGAAATCATTCCATAGTACCTTTAGCACAAGGAGATGATCTGGCTTGGCTTCCTGCAGAGCAAAAGGGAAACAAAGCCCAAACATCATGAAGGCAATTGTACAGACTTAACAGATTTTTTATTCTTCTTGTAAAAATGAACTGTCTATTCTTTGGTATAAAAAAATCTATTAGCAGTTAATTTATTCCATCTGGGGAAAAAGTAAGCTCTTATACAATTTTTGCTTTACATGCTCTATAACCATTAGCCCTGGTGGGAAAGTGGTTAAGAACTCAGGCTGCTAACCAAAAGGTCGGCAGTTTGAATCCACCAGCAGCTCCCTGGAAACCCTATGGGGCAGTTCTACTCTGTCCTATAGGGTCACTATGAGTCAGAATCGACTCAACAGCATACAACAACATAACCATTAGCACAGCTGTATAAACAATTAACCCAGCAAAGGATGTACTGTTTACAAGATGAAGGTAGAAAGACGGTCACAGATTGCATACCACAGCCAAAGGGAGATGATATTCCATGTTGCCATACACAATGGCAAGCAACATTAATAAGCAACAGACACAGACAGTAACCCTATTAAAACACTGTTCAGTTATAATCAGTCAGTGAGACACTCCTTACAGCTGACAGATTGACAGATTCATTGAACAGGAGTAGTTAAGACAGGAATCTTAGGAAAAAAATAAACCAAAATGTTAGCAATAGTTCTCTCGGTGGGGGGGGGGGGAGGTGTTATTAGTGATTTTATTTCTTATACTTTTTATATTACTCAATATTTGTGCAATGGGAAATATCATGATTATAATGAAGTGGTAAATTAATAAAGCAACTGTGTTTGCAATGAGTGAACCAAGACATCCCCGAGCCATTCACCATCCCAAGACTATGTATGAATCCTTTTTATAAAGTTGATAGAGATATTTTATTTTTTCCTCTTAAGATGATATATTTATTAGCTATATGAAATAGCAATGATTAACAAGTAAATAAAGGACATTTTCTTCTTAAAATGTTAATCTCACTGGACTGAGAACTGGGTAAGGTTTCATCATTCTGCCTACTCACACCATTCCTAAGCAACCTTGTTGTAGTGGTTTCTTCTTTGTACCGTTTAGCCCAAAGGGAGAAATCCTTTAAGTAATTATTACTACAACCTTTTTATGGGAAGTCAGGGAGGAGTGTTGAGCTTAACCAAGGAAACTCACAGAAAGAATTACTGGCACATGGGGAAAAAAACAGGCTAAAAGAAAATGCTAATCACCTAGAAGTAAAAACCAAATAGTGCTGGTATCATGTTGATTTCCTGACATTCTATGAGAGCAAACTTTGTGAATTTAAACAAATTAGAACAAGACAATAGTTAACATTATCTAAATGCATATGCATTTGTTGAGTCGAGTGAATGGCACCTAGTACATTTTCAGCATTCTCCATACTAAGTCCACCAGTTTTACTGAGTTACCTCAAAGAATTTTACTATTTAGCCTCATTTGTCTAACTGGTAAAACTTTGAAAACATTTGTGATATCTAAAACTTCCAAAGATGCTGAAAGTGTTATCAGAAAAAAAAAAAGTAGATTCTTGAAAGAATACTGCTACTAAAAGAATTGACGAACGTCCAGAAGCTCGGCCATAAATTGATACATAAATAGTAAGAAACAGTTTTCTCATCTGGAAAATGAAAATGATAATAATAATAGTAGTAATACCTACCTGAATAAGACTACTGAGATGACATAATGCATGTATTTACTATAAAAGTGCTCAATAAATTTCTTATTGTCATTGTTATTACATAGTTAAAACACTTATAACCAAAACAAACAAACAAATTCGTTACCAGAGTTGATTCTGACTGATAACGACCCTACAAGATAGAGCAGAACTGCCCCACAGGGTTTCCAATGAGCAGCTGGTGGATTAGAACTGCCAATCTTTTGGTTAGCAGTCAAGCTCTGAACCACTGGATCAACAGGGCTCCAAAAGACTCATACTTTACATAAAATCATGCCAGTGTAACAAACTTGAGGATTTAAGATAGATCTCTGTCATAATGAATTCTGCCATGAGGAGTTAAGAACTAGTGGATCTATTATCTGGCTACTCAATAAAAATTGATGGTGTCTCCTGATTACAGTCAGTGCCTCTGGCAGTAATCTGCTTGCTTTCTTCTGTGCTATTCTCGGGTTTCAAATGCTGAGCTTATATGAATTATACTTTCTAAAGAAGCATCTGAAGTGTTACGATTTACATCCCTAAATTATACCTTATAAATGAACAAACATCTGCTCCATTACAATTCCATTACATCAAAATGTTCAGCTGCTTCATAGCTAACACGAATGCTCTGTCTAAATCAGTGACCTTCAAACTGTGCTCATGTGGGGTACAGAATAGAATAGGCTCAAGAGGGTAAGATTCTCAGACCCTCATTCCTGTTTCAACGTGAACAGCTCAATTTTTACTTGTTTATCACATTGGGCCTCTAGTTTCAGATTTTATTTGAAGAAAGGGTTTTGATGCTGTTTTAAAGAAAAAAAAAAGTTAAAAAAATTATTGCCCTCATTCAAGAAATGACAGTCTATTGTAGTGGTTTTGAAAGTCAATTAGATTTGGGCTGGAACTTTTGGCTATGTCACTTCCTTTGTGCCCTTGGGCAATTTACTTAACCCAAGCCTCAGTTTCCTCATCTGTAAAACGAGGACACAGTTGCCTACGTCCTAGAGTTTTAACAAGAATTAAATGAGATAACGAATCTAAGGTTCTTAGCAGCTTCAGTCAAAATGGCATCTGGTACCAGAGTCAAAATAAATGGGAGCTATGACAATGAAGATGAAGATGCAGAAGGAGCATTCCTGCATACACGCATATGAGAAAACTCTCTAAATTTTACGGTTTTTTTTACTACAAAATAGAAATTAATGTTTACCTCAACAGGCTGTTGGAAGAATTAAATGAGTAGTATTCAGTGTGTAGCAGGTGCTCAACAAATGTTGACTTCTCTTATACTCTATTCATTCATGCTTCATTTATATGTTCAACAGGTATTTACCAAATGCCCATACTACATGCTAGACAATGTTCTAGGTACCTGGAATACAGAAGGCAAGGTTTTTATCCTCATAAAATTCACATTTTAGTATGGAAAACAGACAATAAACAAACACACATATAAGAGTGTTTAAAAGGTGCACCTGACCCAACTCATGGCCTTTTCAATAGCCTTATATGCATGTGAAAGCTGGACAATGAAAAAGGAAGACAGGGGGAGGCGGGGCCAAGATGGTTGAGTAGTCTGACGCTTCCTGTGGTCCCTCTTACAACAAAGACCCGAAAAAACAAGTGAATCGATTATGTATGACAATCTAGGAGCCCTGAACATCAAAGACAAAGTTGAGGAATCGGACTGAGTCGCAGGGGGAAGGAGAGACAGTTCAGAAGCAGCGAGGAGTTGCCAGACCTGACCCGGCGGGAGCTGGCAACCTTCAGGCTGGATAGGTAGGCGTGCGCAGTGAGGGAAGCAGTGGCGCTCAGGAGGTGTTTTCCATATCGGGAGAGACCGAGCAGCGGACAGTCTATTCAAGCCTCCAGAACAAGTAAAAAGCAATGCTCAATTGGCAAAAAATAAGTACATGCGTCTGACCTACTGCGTGGATCAAAAAATACCTGCTTTGGTAAAAACCTCTCTCCAATTTACCTGCCCCCTACCCACTCTGCACCGGGTCTCGGGCCAGCTTCAGCCATTGCCGAGTCTCCTGGGCCAGAAGGGAGACCCGTCACCCACCCTGAGCCATTCTCCCAGCCTTGGAGAGGACCAAATTAACAAACAGGGAAAAATAATTTGCCGGCTCCCTTAAGCCAGAAACTCAGGTTAGGCACAGCACCTTTGCCTAGGCACAAGCATAAGGGGTTCACAGACTTTGAATGCCTTTCACCCCTGCATAGACTTGTGTGGGCCCATTTCAACAGCATAGGCCCTCATTACTAGAGTACAACAGGGTATACACCTGAAGCCTAATTTCAATTGTATCAGCTATATGGTGAAGTGGCAGGTTCATGACACTTGACACTGTTCTGCTCATTAAGCAGGGTCCTCACCTCCCCACATCAGGGGCCTGATGATTGGTGGCTCCCCCTATGCCACCTAGCCACATGCGACAGGGGTCCAAGAATAAGTGGTGCCTCCCAGTCCTTACAGACAATAGCACTGAGTGCTCATAGTCTGGCTGCAAAACCCACCCACGTACATGTTCTAGGGAACACGGACATGCTTTCCTCCCAGATACTCAGGGGCAGCCATCAGCCCCTGCCTTGCTCAGCGCGTGACACCCTACTACAGCCAGATACCTGTACCTACACCAATCACCCCTGCCCATCTAGGACTGTAGGTAAGAGCCTGTACCACACACTTGATGACTGACTACCTCGACACCTGAGCTAAATCCATACAAGAAAAGTAAATAGACTCCTGGGCTCACATACCTAGTAACGGATCTAACCACCTGGTGACAGGACGTTAGAGCTTCGAAGGCGCCAATTACCAAAACAGCTCACGTGAGCAGCCTATATGGGCATATCAAAACAAAACAAAACAAGAAGCTAGGACACAGTAAGCACATAAATAAATATAATAACTTATTGATGGCTTGGAGACAACAGTCAATATCAAATCACATAAAGAGGCAGACCATGATGGCTTCAGCAAGCTCCCAAAACAAAGAATCAAGAAATTTTCCGGAGGAAGAGAATTTCTTGGAATTACTGGAGGTAGAATACAAAAGATTAATACACAGAACTCTTCAAGAGATCAGGAAGGCGATCAGGCAAAATGCAGAAAAATCCAAGGAACACACAGACAAAGCAAGAGAGGAACTTAAGAAGATTAGAGAAGAGCATAATGACAAATTTAACAGGTTGCAAGAGTCCATAGAGAGACAGCAATCAGAAATCCAGATTAACAATAAAATTTCAGAATTAGACAACTGAATAGAAAGTCATAGGAGCAGAACTGAGGCAATGGAAGTCAGAATTAGTGAGTCTGAAGATAAAGTA